AACCTTTTCATATAAACTGGAATAAATACAAAACTAGAGCCAAACTAAAACTGAAATGAGACATTAGTAATAAATAGTATAGTGAATAAATGAAATAATCATAACTAAACGACATACGAAATCACGTATTTCTGTACACTTCGAAATAAGATGCGTTAAAAGTGAATAAATCTTTGATTAATATAAATATTTTAATTAAAAATGTGTCTCCATATACTATTCAATAAAATTCTAGTGCATTTAATCTATTAAATCGAAGTGAGTTTGGAGTGAAAACATGTTATTAAATGTGGTATTTTCGCGTGCTTTCAGATGGAGCAGCATTTACTACACAGAGCCGTAGTTCACTGACAAGCTACGCAAACAGCTTTCATAATCGCAGAACGATTTGTTCGATTTCATAATCGCACGATTACATCGTCTGCGATTATGAACGCGATTTTGCGTAGCTTGTCAGTGAACTACGGCTCTGTGTAGTTAAACGCTGCTCCGTCTGAAAGCATGTGCTGGAGATTTACTACTAATCACAGAACCGGCTTTACTGACAAGATGCGCATGACAATCACATTCGATTAATCGTGCAGCCCTAAAAGATACTTCAAAAAAAAAAAACATGGGGAGTAAATAGTTATAGTATGGTAATTAATTATAGTATGGTGAGTAAATAATTTATTTTCAGGTAAACCATTGTTTATGACCTGGAGAAATGAGCATTTTATGAGGTCAAGGTGCACATGATTTTGAGTAAAACATGCCATGTTGTGTAAATGGAGGTGAAGGGACGTGTGATTTGGTGTGATACTGCTGTAAATCATCACATGAACACTGTTCCCAACAGGTGCAGAGACCGGATCTATCCCGTGGCCTTGCCCACAGCCAGCATAGTGATCTGCTTCTACAATGAGGCGTTCTCTGCCCTCCTTAGGACGATTCACAGCGTTCTGGATCGCACACCAAACTACCTGCTCCATGAGATCATACTGGTGGATGACCACAGTGAACTGGGCAAGCTACTTTACTTCTCTCAACATCTCCAGTCGTCTCGTCTCTTGTTTTGGTTCACTGAAGCAAGACGTGATAATGATTGACAAGTTGGATTTGTTCTAAACCTTAGTGAGATATCTCACTGTCAAGAGGCTCAACTGGCACTCATGATCTCCTCACACAAGCGACTCAAATAACACTCATTTAGCATGCTTTAGCAACATTTTTGTATATGTTTGGGGAAAAATAGATTTGAATTCAGAGCAAGTCTGTGGGAGGACAAAATATACTGTAGAATTAGGTCAACACTCAATTAACTGTCCAAGTAAAGAATTTTACTGCGCAAGTAGCACTGAAGAGAAACGTACGAGTAAAAGAGTTGAATGCACTATCACCGTTTGAATGCACTAAACATATCATAACCCAGATATTAGGTCTGTGTGTATGTGCACTTAATCATTTGGCCAGAAAATATTCTAAACATGTTAAACTGTTTAAAGCACCTGTCAAATTCTTGTTTGTCTTAAGAGTTGTTATCCAAAAGACTTGTAGCTTTCAGATTCCCTAGATTTAACCATTGCCTGTAAAATGTTAGCTATTTAATGTGAAAGAAGGGTTAGAAATGAAGTCGAAAGGATTGCTGGATGTTTGACTCATCAGATGTGACTTTGTTTGTCTGACAGATGATCTGAAGGAAGACTTGGATTCTTACATACAGCAGCACCTGCAGAAGAAAGTGAAGCTAGTTCGTAATGAGAAGAGGGAGGGGCTGATCCGTGGAAGGATGATTGGGGCATCTCACGCTACAGGTCTGACCTTAAAGGGACAGTTCACCCAATAAAACTGATTTCCAAACTGACGAAACCTTCTGTACATTTCTGTCCATGCAACCTAAATTCTGACGCTTCAAAAAGTTCATAAAGACATCAAAAGTAATTCATATGAATTGAGCAGTTTTTATTCTTGTTGTTATTACTATATCCTTCAGTAAGGCTGTCTTCATTGCTGTTTTTTCTTTCAGGTGAGGTGTTGGTGTTTCTGGACAGTCACTGTGAGGTGAATGAGGCATGGCTCCAGCCTCTGCTCACGCCCATCAAAGAGAACAGAAAAAATGTGGTTTGCCCAGTCATCGACATCATCAGCGCAGACACACTAGTATACAGCCCCTCTCCTATCGTGCGGGGGGGATTCAACTGGGGCTTGCACTTTAAATGGGATCCAGTGCCCATGTCTGAACTCAACAGCCCCGATGGAGCCATCAGGTATAACCAGTGTGTCTTACATAATGCTAGGATGCAAACTTTCTGTGAACTTTTCTATTTTGAATGCACATTTTAAAATATTTTGCTTCGAGTCCATTAAAGGGTTAGTTCACCCCAAAATGAAAATTCTGTCATTAATTACTCACCCTCATGTCGTTCCAAACCCGTAAGACCTCCGTTCATCTTCGGAACACAAATTAAGATATTTTTTAATGAAATGTGAGAGCTCTCAGACCCTGTATAGACGGCAATGCAACTGTAATGTTCCCAGGTCCAGAAACGTAGTAAGGACATCGGTAAAACAGTCCATGTGACATCAGTGGCTCAACTTCAGTTTTGCGAAGCTACGAGAATACTTTTTGAGCGCAAAGAAAACAAAAATAACATAATTTATTCAACAATTCTTCTCCCCCGAGTTACGTCTTCTGCCATTTTGGAAAGTACCCAAGAGTGTAATCGACGTAATCAGCATTGTTTACGTTCGGAGGAGAAAGCGCACGCATGAACGTAATCTGCGTAATCAGCGTTGTTTACGCTTAGGGGAAAGCGTGCGTATGTGTTGTGAATATGTGATACTCTAAAATGGCGGAAGACGTAACTCGGAGGAGAAAAATTGTTAAATAAATTGTTATTTTTGTTTTCTTTACGCTCAAAAAGTATTCTCGTAGCTTCGCAAAACTGAAGTTGAGCCACTGTTGTCACATGGATTATTTTACCGATGTCCTTACTACGTTTCTGGACCTGGGAACATTACAGTTACGTTGCTGTCTATGCAGGGTCTGAGAGCTCTCACATTTCATCAAAAATATCTTAATTTGTGTTTTGAAGATGAACAGAGGTCTTACGGGTTTAGAACAACATGATGGTGAGTAATTAATGACAGAATTTTCATTTCGGGGTGAACTATCCCTTTAAGTATCAAATAAATAAATAAATATTTTATTTGTAATATTTATTTGTAGCATTACAATATCTTTTTGTGACAAAATAACTCAAAATGGGATGTGAGATTTGTCACAATGCATACCCCTATATAATACTGTGCCCTGCCCACTGCTGCACATCCTGTCCCTGAAGCTGCTTTTTAATGGATGGGGATGAGGGCCAACACTTTAACCCTGGAGTCATAGACTGTCCTGTTTGGAATCTATTCTCCCAGATGGATTCACAGAGTTGTCTGCCCTTTCGCCCCTTTCATTTACATTCAAATGTTTGGACACATCTGCTCTTTTTTTTTTTTATTACTATTTTTCAGATTTTAGAATAATGGAGAAGTCTTAATTAAAGTATGGGACATATTTAGTGACAGAAATATTAAATCAAAACTTTCATTTTATTAAAAAAAAAAAATAATAATAATTTTAGAAAGATATTCATGTATAGGCGCACGTTATGCTTGTCTCATTAGAGTCATGTGAAAGAAATTCAGTTGGGTTTGTTCATACTTTTGCTGGTATGACTCCAGTCACATTTCTCTGCAGGTCTCCCACGATGGCAGGTGGGCTGTTCGCCATGGACAGGAATTATTTTTATGAGCTTGGTCAGTATGACCGCGGCATGGACATCTGGGGTGGAGAGAACTTGGAGATCTCTTTTCGGGTACATTTTGTCTACTTTTAAGACATTGTTTGGTTATTTCTTTCTTTCTTACGAAACCATGAGGGGATTGCAGGAGTTGGTGAAGTTAATAATTCAATTGAATTTAACATTAAAATAAACAAATGAGGCTACATAATTCAAATAAAACTTGAAATAGCAGTCTTAT